CGCAGCCTGCGCCCCGCTGCACAGCCACCCCTCGCCCTGCTCGCCTGGCAAGCCGGATTGTCGCCGAAGGACGACGCAGGCGCCGGCGTGTTGAGCACATCCCAAAGTCTGGAGCCGAAGGAAGCCATTGCACTGGTTCTCATCCTGCTGTTTAAATCCAGGGCTGCTGGGAAGCGTGTTCCAGCTGAGCTGCCTACCACGACGGCCTCTGCAGCGGCGAAGACCACATGGCCCAGGCAGGTGGAAGCCCAGGTTGTTGCCAGGCGTGACCTGCTGTCACAGAATCACACGGAACCACAGAGCGTTCGGGGTTGGAAGGGACCTCTGGGGATCACCCAGTCCAACCCCCCTGGGTCACCCACAGCAGCCTGCACAGGACTCTGTCCAGGCAGGTCTTGAATATCTCCAGAGAAGGAGACTCCACAACATCCCTGGGCAGCCTGTTCCAGCGCATCGCGTCCTGGGAGACCAGAGCCGGGAGGTCTGTGTACAGCCCATTTCAGCGCCTCGGCTGGGCTGCTCGTAGGACCGCTGTGCAGGAGAAGGGGGCACGGGTATGGCTGCCTTCAGAAACAGCCCGACTCATGTACGCCGCTGCGTTTCCAGCTGCTGGATTTCCCGTGTAGCTCTGGTGCAGATATATCGCGACAATGCCAGCCTCAGGGTGCCAGAGCTGCAGAGCACTACAGTCACATGTACCAGGGTGGCCTGGTAAAACGCCAGGAATGTGAAATGCTGACGTTAGTTTTGCCTTCCTTTGCAAAAGCAGCGATAGGTTCAGCGTTACGGTTCTTGTTCAGCTGGATGACACTGATGCCGTGAAAAGCCAGAATTGAAGACTCAATAGTCGGCAGACTATTAAGCAGGTATTCTTTATTGCGGCGCCGGGCACACGGGGGATCTCTCCTCCAAACGTGTGCACCGAAGAGACACAGTTACTAGGTATTTATGCTATGTTAACATACATATTCATTACATTTCTATCCTGCAGCCTCCTTATCTCTGTAGTTTGCATACCTGTTCTCCCAAGGCCCAGGCGCCTAAAGGGATTATTCAGGAGTCCCTTGTCTTGCAACCATCCCAATTATTCACAAAGAACCAAGACTTGTTTCTGACCACCTGAAGTGATAACATCCCCTACATGTTACATTTGTTACATTTACAGTTATCAACACCTTTCTTTAAAAAGAAACAAAACAAAGAGCTTAGGCGTTTGACAGGTCTTGGTGGAATACAGAAACGGTTTGATTAGGGTTGTATCAGGATATAATTACTGCATTTCTCTTGCTTCTTCCAACATATTTGTGCAACTTCATATTACTCTGATTTACAAAATTCTGACTTGCGGTTTTCTCAGATCAAGATTACTTACATTAATTATCTTGGTAAAGGTTTCCACTGAGACTCTCAGGCTTTTCACTACTTCCTGCCTGTGATGCTTTTATTTTATTGCTCTTGGTTAGCTTTTCTTTTAATTACGGTTTTCTACAGCAGATGGATTTCTTATTCCTCACAGGTTTACACATTTGTATTACTTGTAGTCTTCTTTGAGCAAGACATAATAAAAGAGCAATGAGCAGTAAGTGATGGGGAAAGAAAAGACCTTCTGTTGCGCTCATTAATTCTCTGGTTGAACAGACAGGTTCATACATCCAATTTACATGCAAGGACTGAACAGTAACTCTCCTGCTGTCATGACCAACGTGCGGAGCTCAGAAAAGAAATTACTTTTGAAGTCCACAAGTGCTTGTTCTACCACAGCTGAGGTATTGGGAATGAGCAGCTAAGGGAAAGTGGAGGAGGGCAAGCTCTCCTGTTTTGCTGGAAACATGGTGGCACTATGTTGAATGAGAGTGGTCACTGAGCCATGTGAGCGTTCCTCCCAACACAATGCACTATAAATTCAGCCATGTTTGACTGTCCCTTTTATTCAGCTTTTAAGGGGCCCTGTGTTTCCCCCCTGCACTAGAACGAAAAATTGTTTTTTAATCTATTAACATGTTTTCTTGGCAGCCATTTCTGTATTTATAATTGACAGTCTGCAGAAAAAATATATGTGTACAAAAAGTATACTCATCGCTTAAGTAAGGGCATGTGTCTGTAGGACATTTTGACTTAAACTCCCTGTAAATGTTAGCTGATTATTTTGTCCCACATTAATGCGTGTAATGTACACATCAGCCAAGCATTTTAATCTTCTTTGATAAATATTTTAGCTTGAAACATGTTTGACCATAATGTGGTTCCCCACATAAGCTTTTAAAGCAAAATTTGATGTGATCTGAATCAAGTGTTTCCTATTTAAAACTGAGCTTTTAGATAGGTAGCTCACTAGATAGTCACCTTATCTAGCATACCCTGCAAGGGTAAGTTATATTGCCATCTCGTGACCTTGATTAGAAGACAGGAAAAGGAGGTGTTTCAACTTCCTTCTGAGAACCAAGGTCTTGCAGAACAAAGAATTTGCCTGTACTTCAGTGTAAAACCACATGTCAGTGAAGCTGCAAGGTAGTAATCCCCTCGCATCATCGCAATCTTCAGTCAACCCTTAGAGGAACAGCCTACCCCTGAGCTTTGAAACTTTGGGGTGGTTATACACACCTCTTTCGGAGAAGTGAACTAGCAATGGACTCGGTTTTGCTTCTGATTCTAGAGTTAGCTACCATACTGACAAGTCTCGCCTTCTGTCTCTATTTCTTCCTTGCATCACAAAACCTTGTCCAGTTACTGCTGGGATACTTTTGTAACACACCCGACTAACTTACTCTTTCCACTTCTTCACCCCACCTATTCTGAGTCTGCATGGCCTAAGAACCTCATCAATTACGTTACTTTGTAATGACATAACTGCTTTTAGAGATCACATTTCCACAATGATTCTTGAAAACCTGTCAGGCGCTTTGGATACCAGGTATTATTGGCTGGGTAAAGCCCACACAGATCTCAACACTCTGCATCCTTTTGCTAATGCACGGTCGGTGTCAGAAAGGAAACATCTCTCTACGTCTTCTTCTCATGTTGCTCTTATGTAGCATCCCAGTCTATTCAGCAGCACTAATAGCATGGGGATAGGAAGCTGTAGGTAGTCACATTGCATCGTTATTTCTTCATTAGCTCTCCAAACAGCCAGTTTTGATCCATCTGCACACCACCTGTTCTTCCTCCCTCTCGTAACGGATTTCACAATATAAACTGGAAGTGGACCACTGGACTGCCGAGATGATTACTTGTTATGTTTCTTTTTTTAGTTGTCAATCAGATGCTCATCACTGTTGTTTAGATGATATAAAATCTCTACAGATACAATCCTGGACATTAGTATGAGCTGGGCAGTTTTTCCCATTCATTGAATTCATCCAAGGAAAGAAGAGTGACTGGGGAGAAAAATGGGAATTAACAATCTGCTTTTCTGGCTGTCATATATTTAGCAAAATGCCCACAAATGTTTGAAAACATTACGAGCTGCCTTCTGCAGATCTTGTTACTCCACTGCTGGATTTTTTTAACTAACGGACTTTACACACACTACTACAGAGTAATAGTGAATGTGGTATTACAAGCTAAAGCTGGCTGCTCTTAGGGTTATTTAGGGAATCTGAGCACAGAACCAGTGCTCTGAACCATGTTGCTGTGTCTGACCTCTCTGGACAGCGAGTGCCAAGAGCTGCACACCCGCCTCAGAGTGGGGCTTCCCAGCGAGCAGGGAACTTCTCTGCATCAGCCAGCAGGGTTGGCTAGGTCAAAGGGGGAATTTGTGTCAAGGCAAGGTGTTAGCTCCACTTTAGACCCACAGCCAGGCACTTTCACCTGAGTCAACGTGGAAGTCACTTCTTTTGAAGCTAGCGTAGAGCTTGTTCTTTCTATCAGCATGCAACTGAAGAGTTAATCAAGCCTTCTTTGCTATGTAATAACACAATATATAATAAAAAGTGCTTCTAGTGATAAAAGCATACATGGAGCCCAGGACTTTCCTATTTGGAGCTAGTACCTGAACACAGCTGAAGAGAATATTTTTAGTTATTTCTAGTTATTTCTAGTCTGATGACAGTTTAGTAACTGATCGCTGTGACATTGTCTCAGCAGAAGCAATTGAGAGATTATGTTTGTAGAGGTGCGCTAAACAAAGCCCAGGCACGGACCTGAGCGGGCACGCGATTCCCCGTCCTGCCTGGTTGTCGGCACGCTCCCTGGTGTGGTTTTGGCCACGTCCCTCCGGCACAACGCCTTCCCACCGGTCAGTGGTAACTGCGTGCCAGAGACCGATCCAGCTGGTCTCTTCTGCCGTGGAAGGGCTGAACATCACGGGTGAACTCTCAGCCCACTAAATCGAATGTGGAGAGGTGAAAGAGAGGGGAGGAAAAAGGACCGCCTGCTATCCTGCTGTTTTCAAAGCTGGTGGCTGCCGCTGTTTTGCACAGCACTTGGCGCAGGTGAGGGAGCTCCGCAAGAGAGGCATACACACGCTTTGTCCAAGGGCCCTGCCGTGACTGGAGCAGGGTGGAGATCCTGGTGGCTGTTACAGAAGAAGCATTCTGACACCGAGAACTTCAGCCTGAGAGGGGAGCGGCCGGAGCCCCTGAGGCGAGCGAGGTGGCGGGGGCTGCCTCCTGCCACCCGGGCCCACCGAGAAGCAAGTGAGAAACAAGAGGGAAGCAGCTGAGGGAACTGGGGTTGTTCAGTCTGGAGGAGGCTGAGGGGGGACCATATATTGCTCTCTACAACTACCTGAGGGCAGCTTGTAGTGAGGGGGGGTTGGT